CTTGACTGAGCTTCAATTTCACCTAATTTTAACCTAAGTCCAAAAATCCAATTTTGCCCTAAATTAACCGTGTGCCCAAATGTCACCTAATTGAATGCCCAAACCCCAAAATTGACACCCGATTGATGTTGAGAACCTTCATGATATTTCCCTAGACCAACCCAACCTAAAAAAAAGTTTAACCCAACATCCCCAAATTGATCAAATGCAAAAATCTCTCAAATTGAACCTCCAAACCAATTCAAAATCACTTCAAAACTTTTCTAAACTCCTTGTGACAATCATCCAAATAAAATTGACCAATCAATTGGGATCAATGTCATGGCTAGCCTAACCCAAAACAAAGTTCAAGCCAAATTGACTCAAATTGAACCCACAATGCTAGCTCAAAATGACCTAACCCTCATAAGTCCAAGAAACTCAAATTGGATTCAATTTGGGTTTCTTGGACTTATGAGGGTTTAAGGAAAATTTAAAAATAATTTTTTTAAGATTAAAACCTATTTTTTTATTTAAACAATCATTAAAAATAACCTTTAAATAATTATAATAATTAAAATTGACCAATCAATTGGGATCAATGTCATGGCTAGCCTAACCCAAAACAAAGTTCAAGCCAAATTGACCCAAATTGAACCCACAATGCTAGCTCAAAATGACCTAACCCTCATAAGTCCAAGAAACTCAAATTGGATTCAATTTGGGTTTCTTGGACTTATGAGGGTTTAAGGAAAATTTAAAAATAATTTTTTTAAGATTAAAACCTATTTTTTTATTTAAACAATCATTAAAAATAACCTTTAAATAATTATAATAATCATAATATTATTCGAAAAATAATGAAATTTTGTCTAAGTATTCTTCTGACCTAGGCAAATCTCTAATAATTTTTCCCATAAATTGAAACTTCATTTTGATTAATTAAATAAATTAACATTAAAAAATCCTATTTTTGGGTTAAAATAATTATTTCAAATTATATCAAATTTAGAAAAATCATGCTTTCCTCCCTTATATTTTAATTAATCCATGGATAGGATGCTGAAAGATTTTCAAGGCCATTTGAATTTTGCTTGAAGAATTATAGGGTGTGGAGCCCCAAGGGCAGGCTAGTAATTTTAGGATTTGGTGCCTTAACTAGAATTTATGATTAACCAAGGGAAAATGTGTAATTTTTGTCCTGATAAAAATGTTTGGGTAATTGAAACATGATGGGATCAAAAGGTAGAAACTCACTTACCACCGTTTTACAATATCAACAAAATCATACTTTCCCTAATCATTATGACTTGGAAGTCAATTAAGATCAAATGATTCTTAAGTGATGGGCTTAAACTAGGAAGATGATAATTCACTTATCTATAATTTCTTAATCCTAAAATTGATGATGATGTGATCTTTCAATAAGAATATATGTCACTTTAACCAAGATTTTAACCACCACTAATCTCCCCCATTATGATTGTTAAGGGCTTGGTAGTGAACTAGGCTCGATGTCTAAACTCAATTGATTAGATTTAGAAATAATATGATTGGGGATTAACACATTTTTATGCACTCCAAGCCCGTTTCTGATGGACACTAAATCTTTAATGACTTGAGCTTGTCTTAGTGGCATTTATCTATATAATCTTTAAAATAAAGTATCAAATTGATTAAGTATCCTATCCTTGGGATAATCGAACTGTCAAGCTTCACTGTGCAATGGGGTAGGCACACTCTAACCTCAGATGATTAATGAAACAATATGATAAGTTTAAAGTGAACTCGAAATGTTTCAAGAAATCTTCAAAGTGGTCTAGGGCCATGCCCTAAGAACTTTGAAATTTCCTGAATATTTTGAAGGGCAAATTGAACTTGCCATATTTTGTTCTAAAATCACCCATTAAGAGCTTCGGAGGCTCAATAAAGTCATAGCTTGGGGTTTGGTAGCTATACCTTCATCTACTCCAAAAATTTCAATTCTTTATATATATATTACACTACCAAAGCTAACCCTTCAGGTTGAGGAACGAGAAGAATCAACAGTTATGCTTTTAAATTATTGCATTTACCTTTCCATACTTCTTGTCTCGAGCTTGCATGTTAAGCAACGATGTCACCCTGCATGAAAACCAAAAATATTAGGATATTGTTAAGATAGACGCACAACCAAAACCAAAATTTAAAAATTAAATAAGATAAAATTCACCGCCACAACATTTAAAATATTAGACAACTAAAAATTTAATCACAAACATCACAAAAAAAAATTGCAACTAAATTAAAATGTCTATGTTGGATGATCGGGATTCTCTCGGAGGAGGTAACCCATTGTTACTAATGAGACTTCCCACGGTTTAAATGAGGGTATGGAACTCATTAAGTTGAGTTTAGTAAATTCATTTGGACCAAGTGAATCCGAAAAAAAATAGTGGTGTCAGAACGAGGGAACCGTAGGATCCTAACCTGTGTCGCTCTAATCAACTTTAATATTCTCCATAATATTTAATTAATTATAACCTAAGGACAATTGATTTGACATCAAGACTTGACACACTAGAAAACTTAAACTTGCCACTACGAGAAGCTTGGAGCTACCATTGTGGGCAACAAGACCATCTTCAATAGCAAAACATATCTACATAAGCTAAACCATTCTTCAGAATTAAACAACAAATCATAGGATTTCAAGGTTGTCTCCCTAGTGTGACATAAATCCCTTATGAGCCAAATTACCTTTTTTCTGTTGACATACTTCACCCATTTTTTTCTTGGGTAAGTAAGGTTAACTCTGACTCATTTAGAATTTAGGATCGTCTATTCAACCACCTTTGAATAGAGAGGTTCAGGAGTTCATTAGGAATTTTATCTCTTTGTGTGGGGTTGGACCCCCAATAAGTTTGTTGGTCGACTAGTTTCGCCCGAGCATTATGCATTGTAAAGTTGGCCCCTCACTGGGTCTTAAACTTCACTTTCCCTACTAGTTTGATTTGTTATTTTACAAATTAAATCGAATTGTGTCGTGCTGCACTTGCTCCTTAAACTTTCTTATATTAATTAAATCTTTCTACTTTCAATTTATTTTTACTAATTTTAAAATTTTCATAAATTAAATAAAGACTCGCCCAGTCTATGGATCAACCTTTGTTAATTTTTAGTACTCGCACTAGAATTACAAGGTATTGGCCAAATAACTAACCCCAGAGCTTTCTTTTTGAAGCTGCTGCAATGGTATTCCCAACGCTCACTTTCTCTTGCAACCTGCCGATGAGCCGTAATGCCTGTAACGTCGACCCCACCATCAAGTTTGAAGCTTTGTTTGAAGAACTTGAGGTCATCCTTGGGAAAGATCCCTTCGTCATAATGAAAGTTGCTGCTTCGGAAGCTCAGGAGTCGTATGTTGTGTTCAACCTGAACTGTCTACAAGATTTCTCTTCTTAGAAGAAAGTAAAGACTACTTCCACCCTGGCACCTGCTAAGTCTGTTGCTCCCATTTCTGCTAAAGGAAAAGAGGTTTTGATAATTAAAATCTCGACTGAAGGATTGGTCGTTCCGCTGTCAGTATTTGAAATTGGATCAAGTTCGAGGACTGCGCCGTTAACCCGAACTCAAAGAAGGAACCATAGCTAAAGAATCCAGAAGGCTACTAAAGCCCAGATTTCTGAGGAAATATCTGGTGATGAAATTCCTAATCAAGAGGAACCAGGATTAGTGGAGATCGACCTATCTGCTTCTGCGAGGGAGTAGGTTCCATCCCTTAATGGACACTGATGGGTACAAGAGTGTTGACCTCACTTTTGGTTGAGGTCTAGTTTTCTCCTCTTTAGTAGCCTAGGGTCTAGCCGTAGGACTTTCCTATTGACTATTCCTAGAAAACTAGAAAAGAAACCCTCACCATTAGAAATTCTAAACTCTTTTGTGCTCAAATTGAAGTTATATATACTGGTCCTAACCTCTAGCACTTAGTAGGTGGGGCCACTATAGGGGAGCTCAAGGAGAGTCCCCATAGGACTTCCTGACCTTAGGTTGACCCTGGATGTTGATTTGGAGCTAGTTCACTCGTTTACACTCACTTTCACTCACATTCATTCGCAAACCTAAACCCAAGGCTTGTTGACTTTGATCTCTTGATCCTTTGGGACACTCATGTAGATGGCTCCTAGACCCTCGAGCTCTGGGCTGAGGGCTAGATAAGACCAGTACATAGAGGATCCAAATAGAGATTCTATTGGCCCATAGCTCAAATCAGGGTGATTGGTACCTCAATTTCACCAAAATACCCAACTCAGTCATTTGTCCTCGAAACCAATTTGGACTCTTCAATTAAACTCAATTTGATCCTGATTCCCCCAAATTTCAATTCTGAACTCAAATTCATCATGTCCAAACTCAACTCAAACCAATTCTAAGCCCAATTGATCCACATTTGAATCCAATTTCAACTCAATCCAAAATTCTCAAATTTGCCCCAATTTAGCCATGTGCCTGAATACCACAAAATCGAATGCCCAAATCTCAAAATTTACACCCAATTAATGTTGAAAACACTTAATGACCATCACCCACATCAAATAGAACCATTAATTGGGCCATAGCTAAACTTTAGCCCAACCAAAGCCCAAGTCTAACCCAACGCCCCTAAATTGACCACATGCCCAAAATACTCCAAATTAATTCAAAATCACTCCAAATCCTTTCTAGACCTCTCATGATGACCATCTACACCATCTTGATCAATCATTTGAGCTTAAACTAAAATTTTGATGAAAATCGAGTATGATATGTTTTTTGACCCAATTGTCCACTAGATTGACCAGACGACCCCAAATGACGAAATGGACTACACCGGCGTGTCCAGACCTTGCCTAAGAAGGACACCAATTTTGATGTGATTCTATTCACACATGAATTAGAAATTTTAAATAATAAATTTTACATAAAATAAATCTATTTTTCTTTTTTTCTTTCTTTTCTATCCCTAAATCCCCAAGTCTTTTTTTTTCTCTCTCGCCCCTTCGCCCCTTACCATTCGCGACCCAAGCGGATCCTCTCTCCCTTATCTCTCCCTCGCTCACGCCTCCTCCCCATTTTTTCATTTGCACGCCCACAGCCCCATACCCTGTCACGATGCGACTCCCATATCCTGCTCCTTCGCCCTACTCGAGCCGACCGAACTCCTTCCTTCCTTATCCCCTGCTTACGCATCCAACCCCATCTCCTGCTCCTTCACCCCCCTCAAGCCGCAGCCCTATGCGCCCCATACGCGTTCTTTTATCGCCTGACCCTCTGTCACTCTGTCACTTCAGGCTGGACTCACCCCCCAGGTGAGTCCAGATATATTTCTCCTCCTTCCTTAGCTATAAAAAACACCATTTGAGGGGAGTTTAAGGGCTGGCCGAAAATTCTGGAAATGGAGTTGTGCAGAAATCCCCATTGGCTTGGTGTTTGCTCGCTCTTGGAGCTCCGTAGCTTGTTCCCTTTTCTTTCCTTTAGGTAAGCCCTCTCCCTTCTCTTCTTCCATTTTCGATGTTACTTTGCTAACAGAAATTACATAAGGGAGGGGGAGGCTGCTTTTGAAATTTGGGGAGTTTTGGAGTTTTTGAATTTTTGGTTGCTTGAGCTTTATTTGTTGGACCTTTGCTGGGTAAATCTATTCCTTACGATTTCGATGCCCTCCTTCTCTTGCGGGCCTCTTTTGACTGTTGGGGCACGTTTGGCTTGCTAGAGCCCCTTATCTTTTATGGTAGTATAACTTACATTGAAGGTTTCTTGATATTTGGTATGTGGTTCCCTGGAGGTGAGTTGATCACTAATTGGTAGCTCCACTGTTTGTTGAGGTCATGTTTGGTTTCTTGAGGTATGCTTACGGTTCTCTAGAGATGAATCGATCTTTAACTGTCAGCCCTATTTTCTTATTTACTCATTCTACATGGAATCCTATGCCTAATTTATTTAAGCCTAAATTTCTTTTTTCCTAAAATGCTAGCAATTCATTTGTGAGATTTGGGGATTCTCATTTATTACTGTTTCTGGGTTTTATATTTTCTGGAGGTAAGCCTTCTTTCTTTCTTCTTCTTCCCTTAGTCATTTAATGAAAGTGTCTTCATATAGTTTCATTTTGGGTAATTGAAAATTAAAATGAAGATTCTCGATTATGAACTGATAAACCCTACGATTGTTTTGTGATATCTTCTTTCAAAAAGCATTATATCTATGTTGGTGGTTTCACTTTCTCATTGATTCTGTGGACCTCTTTTATATTATAGGATAGTTAGAATGCTTCTTCTATTACTTGTGCTTGTTGATAAGAGGGGCCTGTGAGTGGAACCGCAGCATTATATTCCTACGAATTTCTTGGCTCCAAGGGTGCAAATTTATTAAGTTTAGAATTAAGCATTGATATGCTATGTCCAATGGGAATATATATAACAGTAATCAGCATTTATGCATGGGAATCTAACATGGATATGAACATGAAGTTTTCTTTTGTTGAAAAAGCTAATCAGTTATTGGATTTTTCTTTTTTGATTGCTGGATTCACTCTTCATTTACTGGAATTAAATTTGATGGCCTGATAGCATTAGCATTGGTATTAATTTTTATATGGATTTAGGGAGATTTACGTACATGCCACCTAATTGATGGATGTTTGCACTGCACATAAAACAGAAAAATGGAGATTTACATGTACGCCACAGTTCTTTTGCATTCGCATATCTAGCCGACAAAATTCACCTTTTACATATATAACACCCAATCCTTACATGTTTACGTTTCTGAAATTGCAGCATTTACATACATTCCACTCAAATTCTTATGCATTTACATAACTAGCACCCAAGACAAAATGTAGGAGTGCAATTTGCCTTACTGCTTGTGAATATCTTTGGCTATCTCTTATATGTTTATATTTGTGAAATCTGAAAACCATGTGAGCTGTTCCTTTTATATACATATAAGCTTGGGATTCACGTGGTTTGCCTTGAGCTGCATGACCTTATTGTTTTGAAGAAGTTTAAAGCTCAGTTTGGTTCGATTGTTATTACAAATGCTATTTTTCAGGTCCTGCCGGCATGCGGTTTGGTGAGGGTAAAAATGCTGTTCTTTTCAAACCTATAATCACGATGTTTTAGGACCGTCTCATGATTTATTTAGCTACGGTTGTGAGCACCTTTTTTGAACTGTTTTAACATTACTTTAAGGGATGGTTAAGTAAAGATTTTGAGCCTTACGAATTACTGTTTGGGGTGCCTTACTGTTTTGTGCACCATTTTAGTGCTGTTTTTGGAGGGGTTTCGGGGTTGTCCTTGCTCGAATTCCTCATCGATTTAGGCACCGTTTTGAGGCATTTCAGTGAGCTGATTTAAAATAATTGATTAGTGATTTCAAGGTTTTCTCGTGTATTCTTTTGGAGACTTAAAAATATTTTTTGAGGGCTTTTGGGTTACGTTTGTGGGCTATATTTGTGGTCGTTGCATAAGTTCAGTCTCTTTGTCGTTTCAACTTGCTTGAAATTTAATTTGGAAAGGATACCCTTTTTGGGTTGATCCATTTGTGAAATTGGAAAAAATAATACCCTTTTGGGTTGATTCATGGATTTTTGGGAGCATTTTAGGGACTTTTTATTGGGTGTTTTAAATGCGGTTTTGAGGGTTGATTCACCTTTTTACCTTTTTGACATTTCGGGTGGATTAATCCCTCGTCTCTCTCACTCCTATTTTTATTTTTTTCTTTCTTGCTTCTTCATTCGAGTTTTCGGAGCTTATGTTCATTATACAAATGCGCATGTATAACCTTTTACTATATATGAAACTATCAAGCAAGATTGCAAGTAGGTTGATTTTGTTTTGGGGCTTAGAGCGGTGATAACAAAGACACACCGGTGGTAAAGTGGAATGATATTCCATCCTACAATATTAGGACCCGATTAAGGGACCCAATGAATCGTAGAATGATAGTATCATTCATCGATGCAAGACTAGCGTTGGACTCATACCTTCTCAGGTTGTTGGCAGCCCTACTTTACACCGCGTAATAAACTCGTGGACACTACATTTATTAAAGTTATTAGTAAAGCACTCGTGGTCTTCTTCTGGGATCTTCCCGTGTTTTCAATGACTTTTTTTGAGTTGTCATTTGTTGCTTTTCTCGAGTTTTCCATCGTGGGTCATTTGCCGTTTTTTCTCGAATTATCCAGATGATGTTTCTTTTATTGCTTACTTTTATTTATATAATGCATGCTAGCTTGTTTTTTAAAATTCTATCACTATATTTATACCTGATGCATCAATTACACTTAAAGGAGCAGCGGACCTCCTAGGTATACAGTTTTTTTTTTACATTTACAATGATTTACTTCACAAAACTTTACTTTTCTTGTCTACTATACATTCTACTGCTTTCTTATACCACATGCTTTACTGTTCTTATACAATTCTGCTGTCATTGTTTTCAGATACACAAAAAATATATGCATTTTTATACCCATATTTTATATTTATTTTTGGTGATATTATACTTTAATGAATGATATTTTGATATTTTCTTACAGGTTGTTGATTTTTAGGATTTAAAACAAAAAAAAAAAAGCAAAAATGATGAAATTTGGAATCAAAATAATGTTTTTGAGGAAATACTCAGTGCCAGAAGCGCCAAGGTCAGCGTCGACGACGCTGAACAACCGAAAGCTGGAGAATTTTTACTCAGCGTCGACAGCGCCATAGGCGGTTCAGACCCCATTTCTGGAAGGTTCGATGTATTTGGATGATCTTTGAAGTGTTTTTGGAGGCACATCTTGGAAAACCGGCCTTGGGCTTTATTTAGGGTTGAATTTCATCAGAAAAAGGGCTCCTTTATGTTCATTTTTCGCTCCACAATGTTCCACCATGACACATTTTCATAATCCATCTTCAATTCCACCACCATATTATAGTCAATTAGTAATTTTGCTTTCATAGTTTAGAGTTTTTGTGGTGAGATTTAGTATGAAACTTTCTATAAAAGTGTTGAAGAAGGAGAAAAATGAGAATTTTTCTTCCTGCATTTCTAAGGAAATGCTACAAAGGATTTGCTTTGAGAAAGAGTTCCAGATAAGCTTGTTTGTTTATTTAGTATTGTATGAACTTTCTTTTATATATGAAACTTGTGTTTTGTCATATCTTTCTCATGAAGTCTGAGTAGTTCTCCTTATCTTTTTCCCTACTCTAAGATACGTTGAAATAAAGAGATAAATTGAATGTGTCATAATTAAAATATAAAATAAATTGTGATGATTTTTCAACTCCGAATTTAATTTATATTTCAATTTTGCCAATTGATTTGTTAAAATATGTTATGAAACATAATGAAACATAAATATGTTATGAAACATATGATCCGGGAAATGGAGTATGAGTTCTACAATAAAGTGAGGGTAACATTTGATTTTATGAAGGAGAAATTTATTCAAAAAATTAAGTGCAAATAAATAAGAAAATATTCTTTGTTGGGTGTCGAATTGGAGAATCTTTAGGGTCAGACTAAAATCCCTAATTATGTTTTACTATTTAAAAACTAAAGCGAGAGTTAGCCTTCAGGTGAAGGGAAGTGAGAGCTCTGGAGTTGGAGTCGGTATCCTCCTAGTCTAGCCACAAATTTAGGGATTAAGCCTAAGATTAACCAATGATTTTCTATGCACTGTATCAGAGTAGAAAATTAAAATTGCTCCTATTTGGCACAATACATATTATAAAAATCTATCTCATCTCATTTCACCAAAATTTTATTGTAGTGAGAATGATGCTTTTTGACATAAGAAATCTTCATTACATAAATATAGTTAGTGGATTAGTAGTTATTATTCAAAATTTGCATTTCTGTTTTGCTAATAAATAAGTAATTTAGTTTGGTTAATATTTTAACATTTGAAATTAGTGAGTGATTTCGTTTAATTTTTTGTAAATTTTCTGTTAAAATTTTAAATTGCTAACTTACATCTTCCCTGTAGGATCGATTTTTGGGGCTTAAATAGAAATTCCATTATTACTTGATAACGATATGTATACTTACGTAGAATCTCATTATTAATTGTCTATAATTATATATATTTAATTATATAATTATATATATTTTACACAATTTACTTTTCATATAAGGATTAAGTTTTTGGCGCTGTTGTAGCGTCAACTTCATAAATCCTTACATATCAAAATCGGGATCACTTTCCTTTACTTATGTCTGTTACTGTTTCTTTTACACACTTTACCTTAGAGTATGAGGCCAGTAATTGGTTTCATAGGGGGTACCCGACAGCAGATTGTTGACTCAACAATTGCATGCACACTTAAAATTAACATCGAACTCGAAGGTGCTACGATGAGGAGCTCAGAGCTAGCATTGTGGGCAGCACAACCATCTTCAACAGCAAAATATGTTTACATCGACTAAACAATTCCTTATAATTAAACAACAAGCTATAGGATTTCAAATTTGTTTGCCTAGTGCGATATAAATCC